TATGTCTAGTGTAAATTGAGATGTGCTGTTAGTGTAAAATTCATACCAGATAGTACAAAATAAAAAATAAAAAACATATATATATATATATATATATATATATATATATATATATATATTTTACATATGTTTAATTTTTTACAGAGAGGAAGGGAGAGGGATAGAGAGTTAGAAACATCAATGAGAGAGAAACATCTATCAGCTGCCTCCTGCACACCCCCTACTGGAGATGTGCCTGCAATCAAAGTACATGTCCTTGACCAGAATCGAACCTGGGACCCCTCAGTCCCCAGGCCTATCCACTGAGCAAACCAGTCAGGGCTCAATATATTTTTTCATTAATAACTTTTTATATTAATATGTTAAAAAGATAGAGAAAGGTTATTATTGATGACAAAATAGTTTTCCACTTCTATTGGGACTGTCCTATTTTTTTTTTTTTTTAACTTTATAGAACTTGAAAGCCTTTTTTACATAAGAAAATATTTTTTTATTTTTAGGAAGAAAATATTTTCAAATTACAATTTCAAATAGGAAATGTTTCACTTTAAAAGCCAATAGAAATTTCTTTGATGACATTCATCTTCTATGACTGCTAGTCTGCTCGAGCTTGCTAAAATTCTATGGACTGGGTGGCTTAAATAATAGAAATTTGTTGCTCACAGTCTGTTGGCTGGGAAGTCTAAAATCAAGTTGTTGGCTGATTTGATTCTTGGTAAGGGCTCTCTTTAACTGGCTTGCAGATGACTGCCTTCTCATTGCGTCCTCACATGGCCTTTCCTCAGTGCTTGCAGAGAGAAGGAGAGGAAGAGAATATAAATGAACTCGTAGGAAGAGAATATAAATGAAACTTCTTATAAAGTAACTGATGTTATCAGATTAACCCCCCAGTCCTGTCCAGTTACCTCCTAAAAGCGCTGATTTTCAATGTATACAATCACATTAAGGGTTGGAGCTTCAACATATAATTTTTGCAGGGGAAGGAGGTAGGGCAGACAATTTAAATTTAGTTCCTGGTAATAAGTTACAGCTTTAATTTTTAAATGTATTCACAGTGCAACACAAATGCTTTTACAGTAGGAATAATGTTTTTTAATACCTCTAACATAATACTGCCCAGGACACACAATGCCTTGTTTTTTAAATACCAGGTCTTTCTTTAATTGTAGTTCTTGCAGTTTTATTCCTTCCAGTAAATCTTTAGTTACAGTTAATGGGAGAAATTGTATTCTCACTTGTAATATGTTACAGCTGAAAGTAGTACTAATGAGAGGTGAAATAGTAACTTTGCCATTTTAATTTTATTTATGCAGCTGATTGGACTTGGGGTAATATGTGTGCAATAACAATCAATTGTCATACGTAAGTAATAATAGCTAAGTGTGTCAGCTATTTTTTTAGACACGTTACATTTTTTTATTAAGAGCAAGGTGGGGAAATAATCTGTAGTAAAGAAAAAATATTGGAATAACATACAATAACAAAACTGAGAGGAGGAGCTTGTAGATTAGTAAATGCAATGCAGTGTGACAGGTACCGTATTATGATAGAAATACATACAGTGTACGTAATGGAGGAAGTGGTCACTCCTGTAAGATGGATAGCTTCAAGGGGCATGGAAGTGTATAGAGGACATTACAGTAAAAAACAGGCTTAGCAAAGGATAGAGAGCTATGAAATGGCTAGAAATTTAGGGAATCTACAAGCCATTCCCAATGGCTTAAGAGGAATAGGAGCTATAGCCAGTTATGTAGACCAAGGGCCAGATCTTGGAAGACTTCAAGTGTTATGCTAAGGATTTTGGGCTCAATTCTGTAGGCTATGAGGAATCACTGAAGATTTAAGCAAATGAATGATATGATCAGACTGTTTCCAAAAGATCACTTTAGTATTGATTTGGGATGATATATTGGATAAGTAGGAGAAAGGAGACAGGTGATTTCCAGTAGTCCAAGGAAGTGTCTAGTTAAGGCAGTAAAAAGTATAATAGAAAAAGAAGTGCAGTCAATAGGTGCTAGGGAAGTAGACTCTTCAGGGCTTTGGATTGATTGGATGTGATGGGTTTCCTGAGCACTGCCTTGGGCCTAGCTGTTATTTCTAACCATGAGTCCTCAGTGGCCCCAGTGTAAATTCCCCCCCCCCCCCCCCCCCCCCCCCTTAATAGCCAAGCTTTAGCACAGGAGAAGGTAGGGATTAGCAGGGCAGTGGTGGCTGGTGGGAAAAGATAGGATTTGCCAAGAGAATCTGAAGTGTTACACTCTACATTCCAGGCTGGGTACGGAGAAAAGTGAATGGGAAAAAGGAGCAATAATGCATGATAAATGGGAGGGTTGAAGGATGAATTCTCTCCATTAGTTTGGAGATTAGATGAACGGCAAGTTAAGAAAGTAAGACATTAGGAATGGATAGCATCTGTAGTCAGAGATTGGGGTTTTTTGTTTTTTTAGATTATAGAGGCTGAGAAATGATAAAGTCCAGGGTTATGACTATAGAAGCACTAAAGTGGAAATGTGAACGAGGGTAGGAATTGAGGAAATTTAAGGTAGGTTTTTTGTTGCTAGTTTATTCTTAGGGATATTTAAATTCCCACGATGATGCAGCTTTGGAGAAGAAAGTAAGCCAGTTGAAAAGTCTTGAATGAGTTAGGAGGATAATTAAAAGGTAGGTGGATGACAATAAGAGGCTGTATACCCAAATGCCATTAACCTCAGAGGAAGAAGGATTTTACCTATCAAAATGGAAACATTATTACTAGTATATAAGCATGATAGTGGAGCTGGGGGAATGCTGGTTTCACCTTTGGGCTTTGGTAGATGAGGGAGAAGAGAGTCTCTAGAAATAGCTGCAGGAAGTGGATTCCGGGATGAAGCTATTAGTTGACTTCAAGAGGTGAGGGGAGAATTCTTTTTCTCCCTTCCTTCCTTCCTTCCTTCCTTCCTTCCTTCCTTCCTTCCTTCCTTCCTTCCTTCCTTCCTTCCTTCCTTCCTTCCTTCCTTCCTTCCTTCCTTCCTTCCTTCCTTCTTTTTTTTTTTTTTTTTTTTTTTTTTTTTTTTTTTTTCAGAGTAAGGAGGATGGAGGGAGGAAGAGAGAGAAGGAGAAAGAAGAGAGAACAGAAAGACATGGATTTGTTGTTCCACTTATGCATTCATTAATTGGTTGTTGTATGTGCCCTGACTGGGGATTTGAACCCACAACCTTGGCATATCTGGATGATGCTCTAACAAACTGCTCCACCTGACCAGAGCTGTGAGGGGAGAATTCTGTTGAGATTGTGAGGGAATTTATTCACTATGGAATAAAGATTCCAGTATAAATAAATGTTAGGATGAGTTAGAAGTGGAAGAAAGACTTGGACAGGGAAAATGGATGGAGGAAGAAACACATAGTCAGTCTAGAAGCTCTGGCATTTTTGAAGAGAAGCTTAGGACGAAAAGGATAACAGCAATGTTTGGATTGATTGTAGTGAAGTATATGGGCCTAGGAAAACAAGACGAAGTTGTTATTTTTTACTTGATTAGATTAGCAGACTGCAGTCTTTGCTTCCTTTTAAATGCCTTGCTCATTACAAGATTCCTAATAGGAGGTGGTTGTGCTACCAAAAATCTCTAGTCTAATGTGAAAAGTGTTATGTGCCATTTCACAGACGTCTATGAAAGTATAGAAAAATTTAGTTTCAGCTAAAAGTCCTGGGCAAGACTTCGTGGAAAGCTAGCATTTTACTGGGTTTTAAAGAGTAGGTAGGATTTTAATAAACAGATTGGGACAAAGGGGCATTCTATTTTGAATGGCTTGAGCAAAGGTATGAATTTAGGAAAATACAGAGCTCATTTGTAGGAATATCAGAGAATAAAAGTAACTGTAGCATGTGATTACTTAGTAGAAGAAGTGGATGTTTAAGATAGGTGGACATTTAAGATAGGCATATTAGAAGTATAGAATTTGATATTGGCCTGGTTGCTCAGTGGTTGAGCATCGACCTATGAACCTGTTTTGATTCCGAGTCAGTGCACGTGCCCGGGTGGTGGGCTCAATCCTCATTGTGGAGTGTGCAGGAGGAAGCCAATCAATGATTCCCTCTCATCATTGATGTTTCTATCTCTCCCTCTCCCTTCCTCTCTGAAATCAATAAAAATATTTTTTTTAATAAAGTGTAGAATTTGATTTGGTGGAAAGGTACAGGGTACAAACACAGGCTTATCTTTCTATCTTTATCTTCTGCTGTTCTGCTTGTCCAGCCCTGTTGAACTATTTGTGGTTTCTCAAATATTCTGTGGTCTATGATGATTCCGTAACTTTGCAGTGCCTTTTGTTAGTTTTGAAATTCCCTTATTTGTCAGCCTTGCAGTTTCCTCTTTCAAGACTCAGTTGAAATATCATCTCCTCTGTGAAATCTTCTGTGAACTTCCTAGGTAGAGTTAGGTGCTTCCTTTTCTTTTCTCTTCTTGTAATGGGCAGGTGTGTATTTGTCCTATCTACCCATCTCTATCTCTATCTCTGTCTCTGTCTCTGTCTCTGTTTCTGTCTCTGTCTCTCTCTATCCCTATCCCTATCTCTGTCACCTCTATCTCTGTAGTCATAAGTCATTATTACATTGCATTTATTTATTGTCTGCCTCAGCCATATGCTTGTGAGCTTCATGAACACTGTGATTCTATCATATTTATCTCCAGTTCATAATGCTTCATATGTAATGGTTTTGCACATGATTGTTCAGTGAATGTTCACTGGATGAAAGAATGGGTGAATTGGATAAAAAGAACTAGCCGGGAATATTTTCCATGAGTATTGGGGAAGTCTTCCAGAGGGAGCATGGAGGGTAAGAATACTTACCCATGCCGGAATACAGAGTTTGCCATTTATCCGTATTTGGAGATAAGATTGAGTGGGCAAAGTATGACTAGTTGGCAGAGGAAGTTTTGATAAATAATGGAGTTCTAATGAAAATTTCTGAAATAGGAAAGTCCCATTTTTCAAACATACTGTTGCTTTTTATTTTACAGTGCTTCCACTTCTCATTCAGAGAATTCAGTGCATACAAAATCTGCTTCTGTTGTGTCATCGGATTCCATTTCAACTTCTGCAGACAACTTTTCTCCTGATTTGAGGGTATGTATACTATTTCTAAGTTCTGAAGAAGTATTCTCTGTTAGTATTTGTGGCCAACGCTATCAATGTAACCTTTAACTGAGTAAGCAGGAGATACTCATGGAATATTCTCAAAGACCTCACTCAAACTTTATAAAATATCTCAGAACAGGCCAGCAAATTGGGAAGTCTTATTTAGTTGAAAAAGAAAATGTGTAATTCATCTCTATGTTTAGTAACTTTTAAGTTCTTAGCCAAAAGATAAGTAATGAATTTCATTGTGGTATAAAATATTTTTATGATTACTCCCATAATGATGGCCAGTAATGGATAACATTTATTGAGGACTTTCCATGTGCCAGTATTGTTCTAAGTTCTCTGTGAAATATCTCTTATGAAATTTCTGCCACTTCTGTGAGGTAGAGATTACCAATCTCTATTTTACACATAATAAATAACTAAAATTAGTAACATGTCCAATGTCTCTCTTAAATACTGTGCTATTTTTGCTACACATCTCATTATAGTTTTTAAGTATTTATTTAGTGTAGGCTTTGTTGCTTTGAACTTAACCAGATTGGAAATATCCTGAAGCACTTTGTACATTTTTGGATTCATCTCCTTTTCTATAACTGCTTGTCTATGAATAATGGACAAAATGAATTTGATTTTTAAATTTATCTCAGGATCTTTTTATTCTGGTTTAGTAACTTTTCTCAGTGTTACACTTTCACAATTTTAACTAAAACATTTTTATTAATGAAGTCATTTGCTCTTGAGCTCATATTTTATGCCTGTTGTCCCTTCAGATTTAACATTAGATGCAAAAATACCCTGAATTATTGATTCCCTTAGCACAAGAGTACCAAGGGAATCTGTTAAATTTATGCACCAGCTCCATGACTGAAGGAATTAGCTTCATTAGTGGCATATTCAGCATCTTTCACAAATTTATGGGGTCCTCAGAATGTTTTTAATTGATGAATGAAGAGACAGTTGTTAAATGTAAACTAAGGAGAAGATGGCTTTGGTTAACAAAGGTTAACTGTACTTTCCATAGTCAAGTGCCTACAGTAACAGAAAAAAAAGAAAGAAAACGAATATGTTAGCCTGCCTGTTACCTGTCTTATCATTTTTAAGGACATCTTTGATTGCTAGATATATCGTTGCTTGAATCAGTCTTTTTGTCAATTGTGGGAGAGAGATGAATGAATAACATTATGTTAAATGTTAGTATCATTTAAAAAATGCAGCCTAAGCCTATCGATGATTCTCTCTCTCATTGATGTTTCTCTTTCTCTCTCCCTCTCCCTTCTTCTCTGAAATCAATAAAGAAATATATTTTTAAAAAATGCAGCCTGTTTTTAATATATGTTTCAAAGGTGGGGTGTGGGAATGGATATGCTTCTAATAATTGGAGAAAAAAAACACAACGTAGCCAGCTGTTGTGATAAACATTTATACTTAACTCATCTTATTTAGCTTTCACAACAATCCTATGAAACAGACATTAACTCATTTATTTATTTATTAAAATATATTTTTATTGATTTCAGAAATGAAGGGAAAGGGAGAGAGAGATAAAAACATCAGTGATGAGAGAGAATCATTGATTGGCTGCCTTCTCCAAAACCCAACTGGACATTGAGCCCGCAAACTGGGCATGTATGTGCCTCTGATCGGAATCGAACTGGGATCCTTCAGGCCACAGGGCGACACTCTATCCTCTGAGCCAAACCAGCCAGGGCTATTACTTCATTTGACCGAAAAGAGAAACCTGGTATTCCGAAGAGGTGCGTTAACCCATTGCTTGAAGGCACACAGGTGTTCCCTTATGTGGGCTCAGGTTGGTCATATTTCTCTCAGCACATTACCCAGAGAGACTACCTTTCCATGGTTGTCCTGTTTTTTGAAATGTGAAGTGAAGTTTTTATAATTAACAAGAGTATCTTTAATACGTTTTTGAGGTAGACATAGCAATTTAAAAAAATATATTTTATTGATTTTTTTATAGAGAGAAAGGGAGATAGTTAGAAACATCAATGAGAGAAAAACATCGATCAGCTGCCTCCTGCACATACCGTACTGGGGATGTGTGCACAACCAAGGTACATTCCCTTGTCCGGAATCGAACCTGGGACCCTTCAGTCCGCAGGCTGACACTCTATCCACTGAGCCATACTGGTTAGGATGACTTAGTAATTTTTAATATTATCTAATAAATGGGAATTGCTTTTCTAAATCAAGAAAACAAGGGTGTTTGTAATAAAACCTGATTTCCCTCCTCCCCAATTTTGTTAATGATATTTTACTTTTAGTATATATACCCTTGTTGGCCATAAAATGGTAGTACAGACAGTCCTTGGGTTACATTGTTTTGTGGTTATGTTGCCATCTCCATTTATTTATAAAAAAAAAAGTTCTGTCACTTTGACGTGTGTACATATGTGCTTTATATTTTTTATTTATTTACCACAAGTAAAGGTCAGGAATTGTTACCTTTCTTTAAATTTTTTTTTTTCCTGTTTCACTTCATTACTGCTGTGTATGTGCTCCATGTGAGTGACGTAGTTGCTTATGTAGGTGGATTCCTACTTACAATGAAAATCGCATTACATCATGATATAGGTATAGATCTCCGATGTAAACCGAGAACCTACTGTATTTAGTTAATTTTAGTTAGAATTAACCACAAACAGATATGCGTTGTTCTTTGACTGATGGGCGGTTGAGCTTTAGGTATGAGGGGTGCTTGGTACAGTGGTTTTGTTGTAGATTTGGGGAAGAATGTCAAAGATGATGACAAGTTTCAACCCTAGTGACAATTATGCTTCACTTGTCTATCTGACTGCACTCCCTTTGTGTACCTTCCTCAGCTGCACAAGGTAACTCTAACGTGTCCGCATCTCTTGCTTTCCTCCTTGTTCTTTTTTCCTTATGCTCCTTCTTTCTCAGGGCTTCAGCTATTATCTCTTTATGGGTGACTCCCACATCTTTACCTTGTGTTGATCTTCTCAGCCTCTGACCCCTCCTATCAGTTGCTTGCTAGACAGTCGCACTAGGATGCTGTCATGTCATGATCATAGTGCAGTCATAAATCTGTTCAAGTTCAGCTGCTATTGTAAGGTATATGACACCTTGGAAAAGTTGCTTAACTTCTATAAGTGTGTTATTGAATTAAATGGATTCATTTGCTTGTGTGCATCAAAGCCCAATAAAATGTGAATAGGAATTGCAGCAAAGAAAGTAAAGGTTTATTTAAGGAAATGGTATCAAGCACTTAGATACTGGTGAGCTAGTAGTCTAAAACCTGGCTCTCCCATGGCTTCAGGGTATTGGTTATATAGGAGTGGAAATCATTAATTATGCTGCCTGAGGGTGTTAGGGTTAGGGTTGTAGCCTTACTGATTGGTCAGAGCCAGAATAAGGAGTAGTTGATCATTGCATATGGTCCTGATATAACCCATGGGGTTAGTCTGTTGGTTTCGAAAGGTTGTGGTCAGTAGGGTCATTCTGCTTTCGTGGGTCTGGGGGCTGAAACATAACTGAGGTCAAAATGTTATCTTCAGTTTGACTGAACTATGGTCGACAGACCTGAGACTTTGAAGATAGTTTAAGGATGACTAGAACCTATTGACCTGCAGGCTTAATGATTACAAAAGTGGATGTGCAGCATTTGCAAAAGTAGAAGGATCTGGTTGAAAGGAGGCAAGTGAGTCATGGTGTTATTAGAATTAAGGAAAAAGTCATATTAAATAAATGGAGTGCCTGTGCATTCACAGTGGTCCATTACCTCACTTATAAATGGGAATAAGAATACTACTTCTTTTTCAGGGCTATTATGAGCTAAATGAATAATGATCTTCTGAAAACAGTGCATTAACTGGGCCAGTGCATGATGATAGATTCCTTGGTTTGAGGCAAAATGAAAGTAATTGAGGCAATATTTTATCTTTCTACCTATGTACTTTTATTCTGTTTTGATTTGGGCAGATATTCTATTATGTATCATCCTTTTTGGGAAGGACTATGCTTTATCACAAGATTATCTCTTTATAACTTTTTTGTTTTTTTAAAAAAATCTCCCTTTTAATGAAATTACTAGAGGCTTGGTGCACGAAATTTGTGCACAGGTAGGGTTCCTAGGCCTGGCTGGTGCTCAGAGCCAATCTGTGGAGTGACCAGTGGGGCGATTGGGTCCCCACTTACACCCGCCTTGGCCTAGTGCTGCCTATTCTCCTGCTCCATTATCCTGCCATGGTCCTGCTTTCATTGGACCCGGCAGTGTGTCCACTGCCACCTGCTGCCAGCACCATGTCACCAACGCCTGCCATGTTCTGTGCCACATGGTTCTTTGCCATGTTCGTGCCTGCCCCCCCTCCCCACACACACACACACACACCTACCTTGGCTGACTGGTACTGCCCACTTGCCAGCCCCGCCCCTCCACTGCCAGTCAGGGCCTGTGGGCTAGAAGCAGTCCTGCATTGAGTATCTGCCCCCTGGTGGTCAGGGTGCATCATTGCTACTGGTCATTCCGTTGTTTAGTCAATTTGCATATTAAGGTTTTATATAGATACTAGAGGCCCGGAGCATGACATTTGTGCACAGAGTGGGGGGGGTGTCCCTCAGTCCAGCCTGCACCCTCTCCAATCGGTCCCCTCAGGGGATATTCAACTGCCCATTTAGGCATGATCCTGGTGTAATCGAGCCTAAATGGGTAATTGGACAGCCCTCTTACAGTCCAGGACTGCAGGCTCCCAACTGCTCGCCTGCCTGCCTTCCTGATTGCCCCTAACCGTTTCTGCCTGCCAGCCTGATCACCCCCTAACCACTCTGCTTCCAGCCTGATTGATGCCTAACTCTCCCCTACCAGCCTGTTTGCCCCTAACCACCCTCCCCTTCAGGCCTGGTCCCCCCAACTGCTTTCCCCTGTAGGCCTGGGTCCCACCCAGCTGCCCTTCTTTGCAGGCCCAGTCACCCCCAACTTCCCTCCTCTGCCATCCTGGTCACCCCTAACT